TTTGAATTGATACGATAATCTACTCTGCTGACAATTTCTTATCATAAATATGAACATGCACTACACTTTTTATTGACATAAAACCCACTTCTCGAGAGCACGGTAACACACAAATCAGGAGTAAAATGCATCTAAATCGAATAGAACAGTGTTAGGTTGATCATGAATTAAGAGCATATCTGTAACCACATCTTCAAATTCATTGGCTTCTTGAGGGGAAATTGCAAAAACTTCAGGCTTTTGCTCGTTGCTCAATTCTGCATTCTGAAGTTTCACCATTTATTTGCACCGAAGACTTTCCTAAAAACTGTGTTCTGCTGGGTTGACTGCTTTTCAAAAATTATCTAGATTGTCGTTTTCCCTGAATTGCCTATGGTATGTTGTACTTTTCTTGTGGAGGTTGTCCACATTTATACATATTCAGAAACCGATCAAGCACTATCCAAAATGTCTTTTTCACATTCTTCCCAAATTAGTTTTTTCTATCTGAGGCCGCACCTGCTTACCTCCTGATTCAATTTTCTTGCTCTGGAAGTGTTCTCTTTAGCCAAAATCCTTTCTCTTGCCTGCCTGCTGGAAAAATTTCAACTTATTTTCAATTCTTTATGGCCTTTCAACAAGCACGGAGAAATCATTGATTTCAAATGGAGCTAATGAGAACCTCAAATGATCTCTAAAACCGCATAGAAATCTTAACACTTTTCCTCCGTGGTGCGGACATAGTGAGATGCATATCTGGAAAAAAAATAAAATTCTGCCTCATATTACATAATTGTCTTGGACCCTTGAGTTGATTGAGAACTATCTTGCAGTGCTAATCTGGCTGAAGACGGGATAAATCAATCTATAAAGAATTCCCACTGAATCTGTGGAAGAGGTATCGGCTAAAATTTTTCTCTATGTTACGTCTACCACCATCTCTCTCCTTCGCCTACTAGCATGAACGTAGTTGGTACCACTTTTTTGTTTTCCGGGCAAATCATATCATCTAGAATTTTTGCGATCTTCAGAAACCAATCTGCAGCAACGGTACAGTTACTAACACCCTTGAATGCAGGTGGCTTGAAAAACTGAAATATCTTGAAGTGTCTATCCACTTCTGCCTCGGTTCCATATCTACGCCCTGTACTGATAGAGGATCTTTAGATAACAGTCATTTTATCAACTATTTGTGATATCAGCTACACAATGCCCAATTACTCGGTGGTTCTGGTGTCTGCATTTGTCTTGTTTTGATTTTCATCTCTATTCAAAACCTTGGTAGCTCTAACTTTATGTTCTGCACTTGGCTTACGAGAGTTTTTTCTAATTCTTCTCTAGACAAGTATATCTGTATTTTTCTAATTCTTCTCCACACAAGTATATTTGTATTTGCAAAATTTATTATTCACATGCAATTTATCATATAAAATTTTATCATGCACACGTGACACCTAGGTCATAAGGGTTACCCACCTCAGATTCATCAACTTATAATTTTGTATAAATCAATTCAAATTTAATCTCATTCTCACTTTTTATAAATCCAACACGCTTTCATTATTCTTTTAATCCAACAACTATGCTTTGATACCACTTTCCATCACAGCCCAACTAACCCCCCTGATAGAGTCAATTGTGGTATGACAGAGGTTGCCTTGTTGGTCAGACCAAATCTCACCAGCACTCATCAAGACTTTTATAATCAGAACTCAGTGGGTGATGAATTAGTCTAACTAGATCGCCGCAACATATATGATATACTGCATTTCAAATACAAACTCGGAAGCATGAAAATTATATTATCCAAAACATAAAAACTATATCCAACTACTAAATCCATAATAATAAAAATACATACCCAAAATATATGTACAAACTTCCATTTGTGCAGAAGCTGTACAAAGACACACCTGACTACTCGCCCCAGTGCTCGTTGCCCCTACCTGGAAGACAACAATGAAGAATGAGCAACAACGGACTTAAAGAAATAATCAAGGCTAACATAAGATTTTATACATGAAAAAGAAACAACGTGCAATGAAGCTATACATATCTACACACAGATCATAACATGTTAGCATAATAGAGAACATAAAAATAGAGCAGATACATAAAACAAGACTACAGTGTAACATGTAAGTTGTAAATATGAAATCATAAGTGAAAGCATATTCATAAATATTTAATGTAAATAATTGTACAAATGTCATTTTATATAGATTATTTCACAATAATGTTGCTAGTTTAATGTACAGAGTTCAACTATTTCCATATTCTTTCATCATCAGTCGTCACTCTGCCCTAAAGACCACATAAACTATCTAAAAATGTTGGGTTTCCCCAACATAGAAGTTATCGACAACCCTCCTAACATTCACTCACGGTTCTCTAACGTTCTGTCACCACCGAATTCTCAAGGGTCGAGAATACTATATCCATGCAATGTAGTTGCGAGCACTCATATAATAGTACCCCCTAACATTCCTTGTGACATTTAAATCATCACTCCTACATCAAACATTTATTAGGCATTATATGTATCATAGGCATGACACGAGGCATAACAAATGAATACCTGTAGAAAATTCATATCATATGCATAGTAATACATAGCATAATCCGATCATAGCATTATATATATCATAAGTAACGTTCATTCATACTTTCAACTGCAGATATTCATTTACAATAAATAGGAAGTTCTAAATACATCTGTGACAAAATAGAAATCATATGAAAACCTATAGAACATTATTTTTATTAAAATAACACAAGATTATTCATCTGACTTGACAGAGCAACTCTACGACGAGTGCCAACGCGCTCATATCGAGCTCGTCGCCTCTTATAGACCAATTTGGAGCTCTTAAACAACATAGGATTTGATAAAATTTGGTTTATTACATGATTAACCCAAAAACATGCATTAAATACCAAAACATACCTTAAAATGACTTTTCGGCGTAAATTTATTTTTCCGAAAACACCAAATTCTCTCCAACACTTCCAAACACTTTAATCTTCACCTTCCCCTCATTGATTTCGTGTTAAAATAATACAGAAGCTTGAAAAGGACTTTCGACATTTCTGGGACACAATTTGCGCCTTTGATGACTAACAAAAACTATAAAAGCATGAAAAATGAGGCAAATGTCAAAACTGAATGGTGAGGAAAGAAATGAAAGCTTCAAATATCGCGAAAGAGAGATTCAAACTTACAGAATTCCTCGAAGCCTTAAATCACAAGCTAAGACGCAAGGCAATCGCTCAATCTACTATTTGCCGCTGCTTCTCGCGCCCCTTGCATTATAACAAGGGTTGCAGGGCTCGCCTGCTTAAGCCGCGACGAACAGGAGAGGGGAATCGCAAGAGAGGAAGTTAGGGAAAAGAGTAGGAAACTTCGAAGTCCCTAGACCCATGCAATTAAAACCCGTGAATTAAAGGCATGAGAGGTCGGTTGGCTACAGTATCTTGGGATTAATTGAGGGATTAATTACAATAATTAAGGATGCGTTTGGCGCACTGTTTTCCCTGCTACGTGGCACCGCCCTGTGATTTTTTTTCATTTTGGGCGGCGTCTCCTCCGCGGTCTGTCGCGATTCGTTGCGAACGCCGGACTCAGAAGGGTAACAGAGCCTAGCGTTCGCCGCAGGAGCATGAAATCATTTTACAATGGTGCCCCCACGCTAACCTAAACGCGAGCGTTCCTCAAACTCCCAAAGCTGCTCCTATTCTCAATCATCTCGCATCTCCTCTTCCCAACCGCTTATCGTCTCTTCCACTTCCCGAGCGAAGGTCGTCTCGCATCCCTCATCTTCCCCAACCCTCGTCGAGTTCATCTTCCCGAGCGACGATCTCCTCCTCAGATCGCAGCCTGGTTTCCTCAAGCAACGGTAAGATTTTTTTTCCTCAAGCAGAGGTAAGTTTGATTTTCGTTATAAGAGTATTTTAGCCACTATCAAATTGCCCATTGCTTTTTGACCGTATTTTTAGATGGATTGATGGCATTTGTTTTACATCGATTGTTATGTTGTTATGAGTGGAATTTTCTTGTGGAATTTTCTTGAGTGACCTATGTGATCTTTTTTCCAAATTGATTACAAGAAGTTTCATTTTTCCTTCTGTCTCCTCCATCGGTATCACTTCCAATAAGAAGATGATTCATGTATGATCCAACATGCATTTTTGACTTAAGAATTGTGTGATATATGTAAATACATAGGTTAGCTCTTGCATTTCCTTAATTTGGTTTCGCTCTATATTAATAACTTCGCATTACATACATTGAAGCATAGGGGAGGTGGCATGAGTGTAAAACTTGATGTTGTAAGTGCTAGATATGTAAAAATTGATGTTTTAAGTGCTAGATATGTCGTTGTCATACTTTTATTTTTAAACAGCTCCACTAAACAGGGGCAGAATGATCATTTTTTCAAAAACAATTGTCACACCAAACAGACAGTCAGCTTCCCCGCAGCAGCTTTCTGGAACAACACAGCTGCAGCTAAAAAGCTGAGAAGCTGCAGTTGCACCAAACAGAGCCTAAGATTTTATTTATTTAATAAAATTTATAATTTCAATATTTTATATTTTCCAAACCATTCATAATTTACATGTATTATTTTATATCGAATTGATCGATTTCATGCATAGAATTTTATAAAATTGCTTTGAGCACATTATGAGGTTTGAGAAATTTGATGTACTTTTAGAATTTTTTGAACTTACTTGATTTCTCGAAATTTGGGCGTTACAACTATAGAGAAGATGGAAGTAACATTCCAGCCAAACTGGCCATGAACTAATTATTGATGTTTGTCATCGATGGCTTAATTCACGTAACTAGTGATATAGTCAAATGGTTCTGCATTATTCACTGAGCTGATGATGTAACAGTTTCTAGTGATATACTGAAATGCTTTTGTCTTTCCAAAGTATAAACCTCTAGCAAACCAATACTGAAGAGACAATGACGCAATTTAGTTTCTGTATAATAGAATAGAAACATTATGTCGTACCATGCTCAGTAGTAACAGGGAAGCGTGAAACATCAGAAATATATGCAATTCTTGATTTTCTTCCAAAAAGGAAGCCTAAACAGACATAATCCTCACCATGCATCACCTGCATTCAGGAACAGGGAATGAGAAAGAAGATCACGCTTCAAAAACTAAAAAGGAGTTAGCCAAAAAAAGTAGGTGATTAACTGGTAGAGGAACAAACTCTAGGCCAGATGATATAAATGGTTTCTTACAATCCGACTCAATTATCCTCCAATCGAGCTGGGCAACACGTCTTACTTCTTCTCCTTCCTTCAATTTTTTCTTAACCAAATAAGGAAATTTTTCTGCAACACTGTTCCAAAAAGAAGTCTTCATGCATGGACAAACAAATACATTGAAACATTGATTTGCAATTACAGGTATCAATGAGCGACTTGAAAGAAATTGTAAACTAGATGAAAAGTAATGAAAACAAATGAGCCAACTTGTACTGGTATTTTACTTTACCGCTGTGTAGAAGCATACTGAGAATCAGAATGAAAGATGATAAAAACTTCATAAATTTTTTTCCTAAAGCTACAAATGTGTTTGGTCATACGAGTTATCGGTGCTAACATAGTCATCTTTATCATTAGTTTTATCTCAACTAGTTCAGGACAGCATTATGAATCCCCATTTTTTCATTCATTCCTATTGACTGTTGTTGAAGGTGCTAAATTGATTCTTAGCAAATCATTTAGAACAACTTCTATCGAAGAAAATTTAGATCAACCCATTTTCATTCCTAAATCTCTTTAATTTTATCAACTAAATAGATGCATTTTCTACCCTTTCTTCATATATGTTCAAATTACCTAAATTTACTTTGAGTGAAATTATCTTCAGAAGATATTACCTCAACCATGACGTAAAATTTAATTTGTAATAATTTTTCAAAATAAGCTAACCTACAGAAATTTGAAGTGTTAACAACTTGAGATAACATACAACAAATTGAAAGGTTTACGTAATGTAGGTAGTCTTAAGGCCTAAGGTTCACTAATATCAACTAAGGATGTTATATGCCAAAGAAGGATGCAAAAGAACACAATACTCATTTCCCAACTTCAATTTAAGCAAAGGATTGGTCTCTCTTAGGGCCCGTTTGGGGCAGCTTATAAGTGCGAGAGGCGTTTGCAAAACGCCGTCTCACCGTTTGAAAAACACATTTCGGCAGCTTATCTGAAAACTTTGTTGGGTTTTTACAATAAACATAGGTCGCGGGTCGAATCCCGCGGGTCGCTTTTCAGGATAAGCTGCTTATCTGAATAAGTACAAGCTGCCCCATACGCACCCATAATGCAAAATCATAGCCTACTACAATCAATCCGAACTATAATTTGGAGGTTATCAAAACTTGAAATTCCACAAGAAATTTAAAAATAATGTGAAAATTTTGTGGCGATTAAGATTCACTCCCCAAAACGAGAACTTAACTTTGTCAAGCTTGGAAAAATGTCAACCACGCAAAAAATTCAAATGTCAATTAGAAAATTCAAGCCTCATTTTAGTACCAAGAGAATCATCCCCCATAAATTATGATTCAGTAAATTACTTCAATAATCCACATCCAACAACATATGAACTAAGAGAAGAGCTTACCATATTCCAACATTAAATATTATTTTATCATTCCCAAAAGGTTTTATTTATAACCAAAAAAAAATATAAACAAGTAGCTCCTCAAAATAGTTTGCAGCAATAAAACAAACCCACCAAAGAAACCAAAATGGTAGGGAACACATTCCTTTCTCAAATGATCATCATCTTAACATATTTTACAACAAAAAAAGTAAGAAAAATAAAAGCCAAGGAATGGAGAAACTAAAATAATATAATTAGGGCTGTCAAAAAAGCTCGTTGTTCGCGAACAGTTTGTGTTCGGCTAGTTAGGGAGTTCGTGTTCGATTCGTTCGATAAGCAAACGAGACGAACACAAATTTTTTTTTTTCGTTCGGTTTATAAACGAACCAAACACGAACAGTCATTTCAATCGTTTTTTCAATCGTGTTCGAATCGTTATTGTTCGAAATATAAAATAAATTTAAGTAATTTTATATTAAAAATTTATCATATTTTAAAAATAATTATATACTCCAAAAATTTATCATATTTTAAAAAATTAAATCATATAAATTATAATATGATCTTCAAGTTCACCTCTTAGCTTATATTAAATTCTATAATTTTTTATTTATCTACAGGTTCGTCTCTTAGCTTAAATTTTCTTATGTTTCTTTTAGATTTATTTAGTTTCTTTGAGGGAAACCTAGTTTTTGGGAGTGAAATCTCGCATATTGCCTCAAAATCTAATTTTTTTATGGATGAGATATGATATTATGTTTTTATTGTGAGTTGTGCTTCGACTATTTTGCATTGGTGTTGTGATTCATACATGTTTAAACATTATTTCTTATAGGTTTAAACTTTTCAAAGATTTTGAACAATTCGAATATAAACAAATTTGTAAGATTTCGAACAATTTGAATAATTCGATGTTGACCTCAAATTTTCGTGAGGTCTAGTATTC